ATAACACAACCCAACCACGCTCAGCTTGACCCCGAGGCGGACGCCAGTTTCCTGGGCTGGGTTGTGGCCAGCTATAGCCTGGGTCAGCTCCTGGCCTCTCCTGTGTTCGGCGGCTGGGCCACCATGCGCAAGTCCAGCCGGGAGCCTCTGACGGTCAGTTTGATACTGACCACTCTGTCGAACCTGTTCTACACCTACCTGCAGAGCATCCCAGATGAGAGGCAGTACTACATGATCCTTGCTAGGGGGATGATTGGATTCGGTGCTGGTGAGTGGTTGTATTTGCTGCTTTGTTTTGGTTTGTTTTGGTTTGTTTGTCTGTTTGTTTGTTGTGTTTGCTTGTTGTGTTTGTGTTTCAACTCTCCTCTTTCTGAAATGGTTTATTGGCCACAGAGACAGCCACAGATCATCTAATCCTTATTCATTTCTTTCATTTTTCTTTTTTAAAAATTCTCCTCTACAGATACACTGGTCATCGTCAAACATTGGCGGACGAACCACTATTATTATTGTTTGGGGAAGGTGCGGCACGAGGTAATGCAAATTGGGATATAAATGTATTATAAAGAGGGAAATAAGCACCCCCCCCCCCTGTGGCCAGGGAAGTGGTTGTATTCAGTGCTGGTCAGTCAGGGTAGGAGAGGGGAAGGGATGAGGAGGTGATAGGGCTGGGGATGTAAAAGGGAGCATTTAACAGTTTTGTATGATCATCGCTTGGAGGGATGACAAGACAATATCACGGTCTTATTTTGTTGAAGGGAAGAAGGGATGGTGGTGCTTTGGGAATAGGCGGGGGGGGGGGTGAGTATGGGGAGGGGGTTGGAGAACATGTCGGTAGAAACATGTATTATCACAGAGAACACAATTAAGGGACGTAACAAGGTGGATATACTGTACTTTTGTACCTCCAGGAAACGTAGCGGTGGTAAGATCCTACGTGTCAGGGGCGACCACTGTGAAGGAGCGCACCAACAGTATGGCTAACGTCAGCATCTGTCAGGCCGTGGGCTTCATCCTTGGACCAGGTTAGTAACGCTGCGTTCAGCTTGACCATTGGTCAGTCTCCTACGATAATGGCCGGACTTCGTCAATGTCATTAATTTGTCATACATAGTTTTGAAAAAGTACCGAAAAATAAATAAATAAATTATAAGAACATTCAAATTTTATGTCTGGATCTAGATCTAGATCTGGTCCCCCGCCCCTCCAAAAAGAAAAAAGAAAAAGAAATATATGATTTGAAGTATGTTCCCTGTCCGTTCCAAGTCCAAAAGAAGTAATTCTAACTTGAAGTCTGTTCCCAGTCCACAAAAAACTCATTCTAATTTCCTGTCTGTTGAGATGTAAAGACCACCAACATATTAAGCTCTCCATCTACTTTTGTCTTGGGCTGTAGTCTTCACTTCTGTCCAGCTGTATATTTTCCCCCATCACCTTCAGGTTCGAATCTAGATTCCCTCGTCCAATTACTTTAGGCCGTCCTCTTTTTTTCCATATATGGGTTACATCTTAAGGCTTGGTGCGGGTAATTTTTCCTCAAGGTCTGTGCGATCCACTTCCACTTTCTCTTTCAGATTTCTGCATCTATTTTTGATGATTTATTTGCGTCTATTGTTACACACACTAAAAAAAAATATATTCCTCAGTAATCCAGTCAGCGCTAGTCCCAGTCAACTACCCGGGCCCCGTCGAGTGTACCGGGTTCCACCTGAACATGTACACGGCCCCGGGCCTCCTTGCTACGCTAGTAGCGCTCACCAACCTCCTGCTGCTCATCTTCGTCTTCAAGGAGCACCACGTCTACGACGATGACGTCAACCCGCACGTGCAGAGCTCGGACTCCAGGAATGGGGATCTCAGTGGAAGCTGTGAGTGGGTTGTTTCTTGGGTGGTGAAGGGGTGGGGGAAGGTTATTTATTTATTTATATAGTTCGTTAATTTTATCTATTT